CTCAACTTGCATGCCTTCTCGGGTAGCTTGATCATATGGGTTGTTGCCCTCATCCTCGCTCGCAATGTCAGCAATGTCTTCGAGCTCTAGCTAACGCAGGTGCTCATTAGGTTCCTCAAAGAGAACTCCGCGACCATACGGGGAGGGACCTCAGCGTCAACACGTCTAAGGCGACAGGCTATAATCATATGGGAGCAAGGCCTATGGTATATGGTCAATTTTCCACACGTACACTTATTCTCATTGATCACTACTTTATGTTTTCGAGCACCCCGGTCTTCACCACCAATGTTAGTTCCACCACCCTCTAGAATCTCATATCCATGGTTGATCGGATTGAAACATGAACCCTTCTGTCGTTTAGACTTTTTCTTTGAGAAAGCTAGTTCCTGAGATGCTAAAAGTGGTCAAGCTTTGCCTGCTGTCCATAGAGACCTCGCATGCTTCTTCCTTGAAACGAACCAAACATTCAACTTGTAGAAGGTGAATGAGGCAATAGCAGTCACAGGCAGACCACGACAAACTCTTAGAAGGCTATTGAACATCTTTGCCATGTTACTAGTCATGAAGCCCCATCTCCAACCTCTGGTGTCATATGCAAGTGACCACTTATCCTTCGACGTCATCAACTCGCTCAAGAATTGCCTGCCATCAACATTTGTGGCTAACTTCAGGGCATCTAGCTTGTCTTTGAATAATTGAATCTCTTGCTGCCTGCAAACCTCCTCAAATAATTTGAAGTTGTCCTTTGTGTGATCACGCCTTATAAGATTCTGAGCAAGGTGTCTGGTGCACCACTGGTGATGTATTTGGCCGTAACCAGAAATCTCTTGTTCTACGGCATTCAGAATGCCAGCATGCCTATCGGATATCACACAAACATCACGTCCCAGACCAATTACCACTTGTCTTACTAGCCTGAGAAACCAACACCAACTATCCATGTCCTCCTTTTGAACAATCGCAAAGGCCAATGGCACAAGCTGGTCTTCTGCATCAGTCCCAATACAAACAAGCATTGTGCCTTCAAATTTCTCTGTAAGAAAGGTCCCGTCAATTAAGACGACAGGCCTGCAATGCTTGAATGCTTCGATGCTCTGTCCGAACGCCCAAAAGGGCCTTCCAAATACCTGGCTACCATTACTTGTTTCACCCTTCTTAGGTAAATACTCGAAGTGCATCCTAGGATTTGTAGCCCTTATTGCGTTCAACATTACAGGGAGGTGCTCATAAGTTTCTTCTCAATTTCCAAATATTATTTCCAGTGCACGCTGCTTTGCCCTCCATGCTTTTCCATACTTGACATAGTAATTGTACCGTTGGAAGATGATCTCAACCAACGCGAACACCGTAATGGTTGGCATATGCTTCACCACGGGGCATAACTGCCTTGCAATGAACCTAGAATTGAGCTGTAGATGGTTCTCTTCTGCCTCAGCAGTGGCACAAACATGTGGTTGCTTCATTGAGGTAATCTTCCATTTGCCTGCCTTCGTCTTCCTAGCACATACTCTCCAACCACATTATTGTTCTTCACAAGCAACAGTGTACCTCTTCTCCTTAAAAGAATTGATGACCCTAAAAGGTCGGTTGTGTACAATGGAGTACTCTTGCAACCATGTTTTCAACTTATCCATGGTAGCAAACAATATGCCCTTTCGTATGATGAGGCAACCGCTAACATCAGGCACTGTTGTATCACTTGGCCCACCATCAGCTACTGTCCTGTGACCATGGCTAAGGTCCTCGAAATCACCAACTAGTGGATCTCTCCAAGGCAAGACCCTAGACAATATCTCTATTTTCCTAAAATTGAGACGACCAACAGGGCGATCGTCATTAGAGTCTTCGGCTATCTCCTCTACGAAGGATTCATCATCTCCAGCTATCTCCATGTCAAAACGGTTCGTAGCCCTAGCATCACCAAAGTCTTCTTCACCACTAAGATCATCTTTGTCGCTAAGCTCATCCTCAATAGAAAAGTCTCTGCTAGCGTCGTCTAAACCTTCTTCTGCATCACCAATTACATAATCATCATCCTCTTCATCACTATCATGATTGTCCTCACCATCGACAACCGCATTCTCCTCCTCATCTCCACCGCCCTCAAACCAACCTCCATCACGCTCGAGCGATCAAACACTTCACCACCACCGTAGCCTAGTTGTGTGACAAGTATTTCTTCTTCAAACAAAGGACCATAACCTATGTGAGCGGGGGAAGATGGGCATGCTTCGAAGTTATCATTTCCTAAGCCGGACTCCTTACTTACTACTAAATCTAAAGATCACACTTCTGAGGCCAATACAACTGCCTTGTAATCATTCCATTCAAACTCGCTTGTAATTTTGAGCAACCGCTTGATCCGAGGATCCTTCGACGACCCAACATCTATGACACCTTCAAACTAAACATACACGTCTTCTTCATTCCAACCTAACTTAACCTTCACCCGCTCCACTAACTAGGTCAAAGATGGTGTTTTAGAAAAAATCAACAACTCCTCACACATGTCCAAAATTCTAAACTATCATCTCTTGTCCTAACAATACGGCCTCCATGATGCAACCTCACTAATTTATCCATCTACAGCCATCACACAACAAGTAGTGTCACATATCAATATATCATGCGAGTTTCAATCCAATAAGTAGAAACTAAAATATATCATTTCATCTTTTTCAACCCCAACAACATAATCATTTCTAGTCATAAAAAATTAAAATCTAATGACCAACAAATAACTAAAATACATACTAACCCTAATGACCAACAAATAACTAGCCCTAATGACACCTACAATAAACAAAGAACCCTAATGACCAAAATAACTAGAAATCAAACTAACCTAACATGTTCAGCACATAAAACAGTTAAACAACAATGCACTCAATCAACCTAAACCATATATTTTGCAAATGCAAATACACATATACCAAAACACTATACACCCATGATTCCATATGATTAGAGACAATGCAAGCACATCTACGCGGATAGATTGGAGGAGGGGAGGGACCATTACCTCGAGGAAGCTTCGGGAGACGAGATCCGGGCACCTAGGGTTGCATTTGGGGGTTAGGGTTTCGTGGGGGCCGTGGGGGGAGATGAACAGAGAGTCGGCGCTTTCAGAATGGAGGGAGAAAGAAGGGGGCCGCGGCGCGGCTTCAAGAGTCCAGACCTCGACGTTGAGTCGGGCCGCGTCGAGTCTGGTGGCTCGGCGTTAAGTGACCCCGCGCCGAGCTATTATGCCACGAAGCGTTGTTGGGCCGCCTGGGCCACGCGCGCCGGATGGTGCCAATAGCTCGGCGTGTAGTCCCACCGCCTCGAGGTTGGGCCTGTGGCATTGGCTGACACAACGCCGACGTGTCGGACCCCATGCGCCACCGTGTCGCCGTCGACCGGGGTCGTCCGTGACGTGGCAAGACCTCGGCGTCGTGTCAGTCGACGCCGACCCTCGTACTTCGGCATGATTTTCTAAGACGCTTAAAATGGTCTATTTTCAACCAACGTTTTGGCATAGGTCCTTTTATAAAAAATATTTTCAAAAGGGACAAAAAAAATGCAAAAATTTCTCCGCGTTGTTAGACTGACTCCAACAACGTAACCCATATCTGAGACCCATTTCACGATTTGGGTGGTATAGAGTTAAAAAGGTTACATACCCGTAGCTTCGTCTCTCCAACAGAGGAGCCCCAAATCCCTGCATCCGTGAAAATATCCGAGCTCCCACTTCACTACAGCTACTACCTCCTCCTCCTCCTATTGATTCCTCTGCTCCGCTTCATCCCAATCCTCGGCCTCCACCATTCGGCGGCCTCCACCGGCCGCGACGCCGCCACGCATACCTGAACGCCGCGCACTGCGCCCTCCAGCTGCGCCTGGGCTCCCGCAAGCGCCGCTAAGCCGCACCTCTAAGCAACGCCGCTTGGCGCCGCGCGTGGCCCCTCGGCAAGACCGGTCCGCCTCCGCTTTGTCTCGGCATGATCGCAAGCGGCCCCTCGCAGTGGTGCCTTCCTCGTGACGCTCCTGCAGCTGGCGCCGCCAACTGCACGGCTGGCGTGGGCGCGTGGTTGCGGACGCCCGCCGTCGCCATCTTGGTCGCGGCGGCAGCAGCAGTGCCCACGACGTGCGCCGTCCTCTGGCAGCGCCTCGCTTGGTCCGTGCACGTTAGCTGCCGAAGGAGATGCGAGCTTGGTCCGTGCTTTATGGCCGGGCACACGGCGGCCGCATCACGAGGCACCGCGGCGACACTACGGCCGTTGCGTCACGGCGCCCTGCGGCGCCACACGAGGACGGCGGCGAGGGCAATGGAGATGGAAGAGCAATAGCAGGTTCAATCATGGTGGCCTCGGCGAGCTCCGCGTCGTGGTGGCCTCGTCCGCCGACGCCGCGCGCGAGGTCATGCGGATCCCCGGCGTGGACGCCGAACGAAGCGACGCGCGCGCGCCGAAAGCGGCGCGCGAGGTCGGTCTTGGCGGGCGGCGCGGCTTGCCGTTGGCGAGCGGTGCCGACGCGAGCGAGCGCGGACGAGCGGGGCCGGCGGTGCGGCCGTTGCGGGAGCGGGCCACCTCGGCGTTGCGGAGGCGTGCGTGGACGGGCCACCATCGGAGATTTGCGTACCGAGGAGAGAGGGCATGCTTTTTTGCATATCGCTTCTATCGGTAGGCAAAATGCATTGTTCGTCTGGGTCAGCCGTTGGAGGCTGCTTTCGGCAGGTAAAGCAACTGTACGTAACGTATTTTGGGTTTGCGTCTTGTGGTTGGAGACAGTCTTACCCATAGTCCTCCTCACGCCAGCACGTCGTCGTCCAGCCCGTCCTCGTTCGTATCGCCCCGTGCCCCCGGTCCACGGCCCGCCACCGCCCCTGGCCCCCTCTTCATATCCACTTCGCAGTGCCGGGCTGCCCGTCGCGCCAACCCCACTGTATAATTCGAAAAAAAAAGACCCCGAATCGGCGGCGGCCGCGCACCAACGAGCCTCCTCGAAGCCCGGCCCCCATGCTGCGTTGCCACACACCACCGCAATGCGGCCGCGCGCCGCTCCGCCACCACGGAACGCGGGAGTTGCCTCCGGCGGCGGCGGCGCCCGGGGTGGTGGTGCGGTGCGCGCGGGGTGCGCCGCAGGTGTCCGGGATCGAGGCGGCGTCGCCAGGCCACGCGGCTGCTGCCACGGCGGCGGCGGCTAAAGCGGAAAGGGGTGACGCGCGGCCCAGCCTGGCCGAGCGGCTGCGGCTGGGGAGCCTCCTGGAGGACGGGCTCTCGTACAAGGAGAGCTTCATCGTGCGCTGCTACGAGGTGGGCATCAACAAGACGGCCACCGTCGAGACCATCGCCAATCTCCTCCAGGTACGCTCGCGAGCTCGCGCCGTGGGGTCTCTGCTTCCGAAAGTCCGGATTTGTGCTCTGCAGAGGCTGGCGTGAAACTTATTTATTGGATTCGGGTTATGCCTGGATTCAAGAGGTCGGAAGTCTGGATGATCTGAATTTAGAACGCTCCAAACTTGTGGTACAATCGGAGCTCCTCTTCTGTGCTAGGATTGAATTGTGAAAGAGGAATATTGTTACTCCACAATTCTGTGCCATGTCCTTTGCTTAAGTTAGAGCTAGGGTGTAGCTTAGTTCGTGTTTGGTGGATTAAAATGCTAACTGTCCCGGTCTTTTTTGATCGTGTTGCAAAGTGACAAATCGCCCACAGAAATTTGCCCCTAGTGTGCATGCAACAAATTGGGCACTGCATTGCTAAAACCTAGTGCAACTTACGCCCTGTTCGCTTGGCTTATAAGCCGTACTTTTTCAGCCAACGAACCGTATTTTTCTCTCACAACAAATCAGCCAACAGTACTTTCAAGTAATTTTAGCCATGGCTTATTAGCCAAGCGAACAAGGCATTAAATTGTCTGCCAGCCCTGGGAGAAGTGATAACAGCCTTGAATTAGTGTACCGAAATATCTCATAGGCATCTACGAATTAAGTAATGGGCTGACTACTGAGAAGAACATGGGGTGGTTGTCACCGTCACCAATTTCCTGGATGTGCTTGCTTTGGCATGCACAAACAAAATTTCATATAGGGTACAGATCACTGGAGTTTAGTGGTGGTGGAATTGGTTTATGATCCAAGTTTAAAAGTTAAAATCACGCCAAATGGGACAAGGGCAACACCACGTGTTCCCATTTTATCAACTGATTCTTAAGTATCAATGGCCCCGTTCGCTGTAATTTATATAAGGCATACTATAAACAAGTGTATAGTTATTTTTTATTCCCTGTAATTTTCAATATCTATAATGGTAAGCATTTTTTTTAAATACAGGAGGTAGGATGCAGCCATGCACAAAGTCTTGGGTTCTCCACTGATGGCTTCGCCACGACCACTTCAATGAGAAAGCTCGGGCTTATTTGGGTGACGAACCGAATGCACATTGAGATCTACAAGTACCCAGCTTGGTAGTTTTTCAAGCTTACATTGAACTTTCATTTCCACTTTTCCCCCCCTTTTTGGTAAGATTTGATCCTGACTGGTAACTCTGTTGCTGGTAGGGGTGATGTTGTTGAGATCGAAACATGGTGCCAAGCAGATGGAAGAATTGGTACTCGTCGTGATTGGATCCTCAAGGACCTGGCTAATGGTGAAGTTATTGGCAGAGCTACCAGGTACTTGCTTAGTGCTTCTTTGAGTGTAATGCAGGACCTAATTTAAAAAAAAAAACAGAAAAAAATCATTCCACCTCCTTGTTAGGCGAGTGATGTAGACCTTTAAGTGATAGGTGTGAATCGTAAACTTCTGTGAATTTTATCATACCTGTTCCTCTGGGTTGCACTTGAATATGCTGGGCATATCTGTTCTTGTTGTCTCTACTGAAAGCAATATTTAGGAAGTGAGATCAGTTTATGCTGCTTTAGCAGCGCAGCAGTATTGGGCTATCAGATTCGTTCTTTGTTGTCTTTTAGCTCAAATTTTTGCATATCTTTTATCACGGTGTACAGTACAAGTAACTGAGTCATATTGCTTATTCTGTAGCAAGTGGGTCACGATGAACCAAAATACACGGAGACTTCAGCGAGTCAGTGACGACGTGAGGGATGAGGTGTTTATACATTGTCCAAAGACTCCAAGGTAAAGTGACTCACTTTTGTTCTCAACATTCTGCATAGACATGCACTCTTGTTATTTCCATACAATCCATGTATCAAAAGTGCCCAAGTAGCTCTGCCTTTTTGGAACCCAAGTCTATTTGAAGTTTTACACTCAGCTGGGTTATTTTAAATGTCCCTAGCTGTAGTTCATTGGATGAATGCATGCTAATCTGAATATTTGAAATAGGCTGAACAACTTTTACGTGTAATCAGTCTAACAGCAATTGTTTTGGTTATTGGATTTGTGTAATGATTGTCACTGTATTCCCATACTGTAGTTATAAGAGTTGTAACAAGTTATTGTTGTGCAGATTAGCATTCCCAGAGGAAAATAATGGCAGTTTGAAGAAGATTCCGAATCTTTCAGATCCTGCACAATATTCAAGACTTGGACTAGTGGTCAGTTCTCCCCTTCGTGTATCATCCAGTTCTTAGCGCACCAATACTACTATTTCAGTGCTGACAGACATTGATTTCCAAACTGCAGCCAAGAAGAGCTGATCTGGACATGAACCAACATGTCAATAATGTTACTTACATTGGTTGGGTCCTCGAAGTAAGTGTTCTACTAGACTTTTCTTACTCTTGATCCCACTTTTGAAACTTTGGTTTTTGTGGGGATATCTAATCTGAGTAGAGTTTGCAATGACTAGTTGCTTACTATTACTGTTTTCCTTCTAGATGGAAATTAGCATCTTTGTTGATTTGCGATGGTTTCTAATAGTTCTTTGTCTACCTTCTAAATTGCAGAGTATACCTCAAGATATAATTGATACACACGAGTTACAAACAATCACTCTCGACTATAGGAGAGAATGTCAATATGATGACATAGTTGATTCGCTTACGAACATAGAGGAAAGAGAGGAGAAAAGCATGAACGGTTCTGCTTCTGCAGCGCCTCACAAAGAAGAGCGGCAGCAGTTCCTGCATTGCTTGAGATTTGCTGCCAATGGGGACGAGATCAACCGTGGCCGTACCGTGTGGAGGAAGTTAGCTAGATAAAAAGTGTTTTTTTTTTTTTTTCAATATTCAGCTCCATTTTGCTGCTTACGGCTGGCGGCCCTTGTACAACAATTTGTGATGTATTGTTGCCCTTTGGAATGTACTCTGCCATGTAACGGTGCCGATTTGTGACATTTCTTCCAGTTGTAAATTTGTAACGGTCTGTCCGTTTTGTACCAGTGAACCGCGGAGGAGAGGTTTGGCACTGTTACTGCAGTGTGCTCTAAAGTATTCTTTCAGTTTTTCTCTTTGTTTTAATTATATAAATTATTTTGACTTTTTTAAATGCATAGTTTTTTTTTACAATATACATAAATATAATAAATATTTAAATACATAGCAAAAAGCTATGTATCTTAAAAACAAAACAAATTTTCAATTTACAATGGAGGGAGTACACATGTCATACTTCGAGTCAACCAATCTTAGATTTGATCAAATATTATAAAATTAATCCTAACATTATAATACCAAATAACGTAGTTAGATTAACCATGCCATATATATTTATAGTAAATGTATTTAAAGATACAGATGCTATCATTATTTTCTATAAATCTAATTAAATTGAAGATTGATTGATTTCTCAAAGTTCAAAAATGCGCACTTATTTTGGGAGAGAGTACCTGTGCAAGAATGGTAGTAGGGCGGTTTCGAGTCCCACGGGTGCAATTTCTCCCATAGTTTTTGGGTTCTGGTACCCAAAACTTGTCGGATTCAGTTTCGGTTTTCGCCCATGGATGCCCAATAGAGATCTAAAATAGTCATTTTTGAATAAAAATCCATATCTTTCATTAATACATTTTGTAAGTTATTAAATTTGTTTTAAGTTGAATCATGAAATTATGTGTTGTTTGTTGTCTCTGTGTGTAATATATGTATCTTGTATGTTGCTAGAAATTCTCTATTGCTTTTATTATATTGACATATAGTGGTGGGTTTTAGGTTTCGAATAACCAATTAGAGTTTGAAAAACCATTAAATTTGATAACTAGGACGAATTATCATCTGAGAATGATATTAGATTCAGGTCGACGGAGACTCTACCCAACCCGAATCGGCCCCGTTGCCATCTCTAATTCTCTATCGAGAAAATTTGTTCATTGCCATTGGAAATTATAACATCTTTGTATGTGCCATTGAAAATCACGATTTTGGTTCATTGCCATTGAGTTGTATTTTTTCCTTGTTATATGCCATTGATAGCTCTATTATGTTAAGTGGATGTTAGATGATGACGGAAATGACCATTTTGCCCTTGTATAACCCAATAAATTAGAAATATCCCTTTGATGCCATTAGCACTTAGATAAATCAATATTGGACAGTACGACTACATGTATTTTCGACGCTAGCAAAAAATAGAATAACACTTCAACCCACATATTTAATTTAAAAATATGCACAAGCAATATGATAGCGCTCGTATGAGGGAGCCGTGCCTGTCGGAGGGCTGCCACGGCCGGCGGAGGCCGCGCTCGGCCGAGGGGCCACGCCTGCCGGGGACGTGCCTGCCGGAGAGGCAGCGACGGCCTGATGGGCCGCGATCGCTGGTGGTCGTGCCCATTGGAGGGGTCGTGCCCACTGGAGGAGCCGCTCTTGCCAAGGATCGACGCGTTGGACACGAACGACACGGAGGGCAAACACCGAGGAAGGCTTCGATCCGGTCACCTAGGGGTTGGGAGATTTTTTACAACCAAGACCGAGAGAGCGCTCGCGAGAAGGAAGAGCGAGATCGAGAGAAAACTTGGGAAAAAGAGGTTGAGAGCAGAAGGGTATAACGGGTACTTCTGCCTGTGCTTTGACGATGTTAATCTCTTCGTGAGTCCAAATGACGGTGATGGCATTTAAGAGGAAAAAATTACGATTCAATGGCAATCATGCAAAATCTGAACTTTCAATGACACATACCAATATGTTATGGCCCCGTTTGGCGGAGCTCCCAGAGTTGATTCTCTACTTAATCCAGCATGAGCTCTACCAAACAATTTTTTAGAGAGAAGTGAGGCTCCGTTTGGCAGAACTCCCAGAGCTGATTCTTCGTTAAATCCAAGCAGAAGCTCTGCAAAATAATTTTTTAGACAGAAGTGATTCTCTGCTGATTTCATGAGGTGATTCTCTGAAATGACTTAGGAAGCCGAGAGCTGAAAAAATTAGCTTCTTCTGATTCTGTGAAGTGATTCTCCATCATGATTCAAGAGTTTATGCTAAAGAATAAAAGAGAATCACTTTCAGCTACGGAATCACTTCTATCAGAAAATCAGTTTTCTTATAGAATCAGAATCAGATAGAGCTCTACCAAACATGCCTAGATTCTCTGCTGATTCCGTGAAGTAATTCTCTGAAATGAATTAGGAGGCTGAGAGTTGAAAAAAGTAGCTTCTCCTGATTCTATGAGCCTGTTCATTGGTTGGTTTCTGGGCTGATAAGCCCAGCTAGTTGGTTTGTTGTGAGAGCAAAACATCGTTGGCTGACTGATAACCCCTGACTGAAACCAATAAACGAACATGTCGTATAAAGTGATTCTCCATCATAATTTTAAAAGTTTATACTAAAGAATAAAAAAAATTACTTTCACCTACAGAATAACTTCTCTCATAAAATCAGCTTTTATAAAAAATCAGAATCAGATACCAAACAGCGCATGTAAGTTCCAATGGCAGATACCAAATTTTCTCTTCTCTATCCGTGCTATACACTTGCTGACACTGGCACGCCGCACGCGCGCTCCAGCCGGCGCGACGCGCGACGACATATTTACCACCGGTCCACCGCCGTAGAGTCGTGGACCACCACCGCCGCATGCACCGGGTCCAGAGACTTCCTCGTTCCCTCCTGTTCTCCACTGCCAGCACGTCGTCCAGCCCGTCCTCGTACCTCGTTCGTATCGCCCCGTGCGCCCGGTCCACCGCCCGCCACCGTCCCTGGCTGCCCGCCGCGCCAAACCCACCCCGCTCCGCCCGTGTAAACCAAAACCCCGCATCGGCGGCTGCGGCGGCGGCGGCCGGCCAACGAGCCTCCTCGAAGGGACGCACCCGCCCTCCCATGCTGCGCTGCCACACGCCACCGCAATGCGGCCACGCGCCGCTGCGCCACCACGGAAGGCGGGAGTCGCCTCAGGCGGCGGCGCCCGGGGTGGTGGTGCGGTGCGCGCGGGGTGCGCCGCAGGTGCCCGGGATCGAGGCGGCGTCGCCGGGCCACGCGGCTGCCACGGCGGCTAAGGCGGAAGGGGGTGACGCGCGGCCCAGTCTGGCCGAGCGGCTGCGGCTGGGGAGCCTCCTGGAGGACGGGCTCTCGTACAAGGAGAGTTTCATCATGCGCTGCTACGAGGTGGGCATCAACAAGACGGCCACCATCGAGACCATCGCCAATCTCCTCCAGGTACGCTCGCGAGCTCGCGCCGTGGGGTGTCTGCTTCCGAAAGTCCGGATTGGTGCTTTCCGGAGGCCAGATTTGTGGCGTGAAACTTATTTATTGGATTCCGGTTATGCCTGGATTCAAGAGGTCGAATGTCTGGATCTGAATTTAGAACGCTCCAAACTTGTGGTACAATCGGAGCTCCTCTTCTGTGCTAGGATTGAATTGTGAAAGAGGAATATTGTTGCTCCACAATTCTGTGCTGTGTCCTTTGCTTAAGTTAGAGCTAGGGTGTAGCTTAGTTTGTGTTTGGTGGATTAAAATGCTAACTGTCCCGGTCTTGTTAGTGTTGCTAAGTGACAAGTTGCTCACAGAAATTAGCCCCTAGTGTGCATGCAAGTATGCAACAAATTGGGCACTGCAATGCTAAAACCTAGTGCAACTTTCTTTGTCCAGCTCTGGGAGAAGCGATAAGAGCCTTGAATTAGTGTGCCAAAATATCTCATAGGCAATGCCTATGCCTGTAGGCAACTACGAATTAAGTCATGAGGGCTGACTACTGAGAAGAACAGGTGGTTGTCGCTGACTTTGCTGTCACCAATTTCCTGGATGTGTTTGCTTTGGCATGCACAAATGAAGTTTCATATGGGGTTCAGATCGCTCGAGTTAGTGGTGGTGAAATTGGTTTGTGATCCAAGTTTAAAATTTTAAATCACACCGAATGGGACAAGGGCAACTCCACGTGTTCCCATTTTATCAACTGATTTAAGTAACAATATTACTGCCATTTATATAAGGCATATACTATAAACGAGTCTATCTTTATTATTCTTTATTCCCTGTAATTTTCGATATCTTTAATGGTAAGCATTTTCGTAAATTCAGGAGGTAGGATGTAACCATGCACAAAGTGTTGGGTTCTCCACTGATGGCTTTGCCACAACTACTACAATGAGAAAACTTGGACTTATTTGGGTGACGAACCGAATGCACATTGAGATCTACAAGTACCCAGCTTGGTAGTTTTTCAAGCTTACATTGAACCTTTTTTCCCCCACTTTTTCCCTTTTTGGTAAGATTCGATCCTGACTGGTAACTCTGCTGCTGGTAGGGGCGATGTTGTTGAGATTGAAACATGGTGCCAAGAAGATGGAAGAATTGGTACTCGTCGTGATTGGATCCTCAAGGACCTGGCTAATGGTGAAGTTATTGGCAGAGCTACCAGGTACTTGCTGAGTGCTTCTTGAGTGTAATGGAGGACCTAGAATTTGTCTGTCACTGTGTCATATTTTTTGTCTGATAGCATGTTAGCCATCACTTTTCGCACCCATTTCTATCTCCTGGCAAAAAACAGAAAAAATCATTCTCACCTCCTTAGGTGAGTGGTGTAGACGTTTAAGTGATCGGTGTGAATCGTAAACTTCTGCCAATATTATCATGCCTGTTCCTCTCGGTTGCACTTACCATTCACTTGAATATGCTGGGCATATCTGTCTTGTTGTCTCTACTGAAAGCCTCCTTGATATTTAAGAAGTGGGATCAATTTATGCTGCTTTAGCAGCGCAGCAGTGTTGGGACTATCATATTCTTTATTTGTTATCTTTTAGTTCAAATTTTTGCATATCTTTTATCACGGTGTACAGTACAAGTAACTGAGTCATATTGCTTATTCTGTAGCAAATGGGTCATGATGAACCAAAATACACGGAGACTTCAGCGAGTCAGTGATGACGTGAGGGATGAGGTGTTTATACATTGTCCAAAGACTCCAAGGTAAAGCGACTCAGTTTTGTCCTCGACATTCTGCATGGACATGCACTCTTGTTATTTTCATACAATCCATGCATCGAAAGTGCCCAAGTAGCTCTCTGCCCTTTTGGAACCCAAGTCTATTTGAAGTTTTACACTCAGCTGGGTCATTTAAGTGTTGTTACCTGTAGTTCATTGGATGAATGCATGCTAATCTGAATATATATTCTTTTAGAAGGGACGGCAAAAAGCTTTGCCGTGATTTTTATTAGACGAAGAAAAAGAAAACAAGTGTCGTCCCAGTTTTTTGAGTGGAAACCGGGCCCAAAAACTACACAATTAGGGAGAGTGCATCACTCATCCCACCCAACTTTGGCACAACCACCGAACAACTAACAACTTCATCCACTACTTGCTCAGGTATACTACACTGAGTCGACTTGCCAACAACTACTAAAACTAGCAACAACTACTCAACTAGCAACTCAACTGAGACCCAGCTAAACTGAGCCAACTTGGTCGAAAAAAAAGAAGACCCAACTAGCAACTCCACTACATAACAACTATAACAACTCTTGGGTGCCACAACCCTGGAGCACCACCCTGGCCAAATGACAAGAGCAGAATGGCAGAGCGGAGCTGGAAATAAGCCTCACGATGCCTTCAGGAAGGAAACGACGCCAAAGGCGCCGACGTCACGAGCCCATCATAGGAAGGTTTTCACCCGCAAAAACCAGTTGGGTAGAAGAGGAAAGGACGTCTCCAAGGAGGAAGCGGCGTCCGCAGACGTCTCCGTCCAGGCTTTCGCCTCGATCCCTCCCACCCGTCCACAGCGGCCCACCATTGCCCACCGCAGGGGGGACTTCCTTGCAGAAAGGCGCCGGTGGCGATCTGCGAGTGTCCCCGTCGACACCTGACACCACCACACATGCTGCGAGCGTCCCCGTTGCATGCGCAGCCACAAGGAGACATCCCCGACCCGTCCAGGGGACCGGACACGGAGAGCCAAGGGAGCCTACCACCACATAGCCACCACGACGACTGGAGCCGCCACGAGGGTCCCGCCGCTATCTCGAGAAAGGACGACAGGCAGCACCAGCCACCTGCCGGACAGCAGAAGCGCCACAGGCCTGCCGTAGAGGCTGCCCACTACCAGATCGTGCCGAAACTGGCCAGCAGCAAGCAGATCTGGCCAACTCCACCATGGCACCGGCCAGAGCAAGGGAGAAGGAACATGGCAGGGAGGAGAGGGCCGGGGAAAGGAAAAGCCCCAGCCGCCTAACCAGCCACCATCCTCACAGCACCGGCCACCAAACCAGCGGATCCGGCCGCCAACAACGTGGATGTAGTGCCCGCGCCGGTCCTGGCCTCACCAAGCCGACAAGGGTGGCGCCGTCGACTGGCCCACCATCATCGACGCGGGTGAAGGCCAGAACACCTCCACCGAAGATACTCCAGCAAAACGCGTGGGGACGACAGATCCAGGCGAGGGGAAGCCGGATCCACCTGCCCCGGCGCCGGATGCGCCGCCGGCCGACGCCCCCGCAAAGAACACGCCCGATCCGCCCGCACAGGAGTCCCACGGGAGAGAGGGAGGGAGGAAGAAGAACCCAGCCGCCGCCATCCTTGCCCTCTGCTGGACCTCCGGCATCGTGCTCCGGTGGCGGCCGGGTAGAGGGGGCGCGAGGGAGGGTCTGATGGCGGCGGTGTAGGAGAGCCGCCCGAGTCGCCCCCTAGGGGAGAGCGACGCGTGGGCCGTGGGAAATGTTAATCTGAATATTTGAAATAGTTTGAACAACTTTTACGGATAACAGTCTAACAGCAATTGTTTTGGTTATTGAGTTTGTGTAATGATTGTCACGGTGTTCTCATACTGTAGTTATGAGTTGTAACAAGTTATAGTTGTGCAGATTAGCGTTCCCAGAGGAAAATAATGGCAGTTTGAAGAAGATTCCGAATCTTTCAGATCCTGCACAATATTCAAGACTTGGACTAGTGGTCAGTTCTCCCCTTCGTGTATCATCCAGTTCTTAGCGCACCAATACTACTATTTCAGTGCTGACAGACATTGATTCCAAACTGCAGCCAAGAAGAGCTGATCTGGACATGAACCAACATGTCAATAATGTTACTTACATTGGTTGGGTCCTCGAAGTAAGTGTTCTAGACTTTTCTTACTCCTGATCCCACTTTTGAAACTTTGGTTTTTGTGGGGATATCTAATCTGAGTAGAGTTTGCAATGACTAGTTCCTTACTATTACTGTTTTCCTTCTAGTGCCTCGTTCGGTTATATGGAATCGATTCCTGGCCTCGCTGTTTCTTCGTTATTTTCTACATGTCCGGAACCGTTCCCGGTCAGGAAGGACCGGGAACGTCGTAACCGAACCGAACGGACCCTAGATGGAAATTAGCATCTTTGTTGATTTGGGGTGATTTCTAATAGTTCTTTGTCTACCTTTCAAATTGCAGAGTATACCTCAAGATATAATTGATACACACGAGTTACAAACAATCACTCTCGACTATAGAAGAGAATGTCAACATGATGACATAGTTGATTCGCTTACTTACATAGAGGAAGGAGAGGAGAAAAGCATGAACGGCTCTGCTTCCGCAGCGCCTCACAAAGAGGAGCAGCAGCAGCAGTTCCTGCATTGCTTAAGATTTGCAGCCAATGGGGACGAGATCAACCGTGGCCGTACCGTGTGGAGGAAGCTAGCTAGATAAGAAGTGGTTTTTGGTCATCAATATTCTGCTCCATTTTGCTTCTACGGCTGTCGACCCTTGTACCACAATTTTGTTATGTATTGTTGCCCTTTGGAATGTACTCTGCCATGTAACGGTGCCGATTTGTGACATTTCTTGCAGTTGTAACGGTCTGTCCGATTTGTACCAGTGAACAATGTTTGTGATATGGAATAATCTGCGTTTCTCCGGCAACTCCCAACTTTGCGTCGACATGAGATGCGATCCATTTATGGTTGTCATGGGTGTAGACCAGACATTCGAGTAATAGAGGGTTCGAGTTGCCAATAATCTGTCTTCCCATGAGATGGACCAGTTTTCCTTCCTTTTTTTTTCCCGCTTCGACCCCAACCCACCATGTCATGAAAAAATGCGAGCTTGCAGAATAAAGTATATTAGGGTTCCAATCCTTAGTCTAATATGCAACAAGAAGTAAATAAAATGAGTAAGCTTTCCAAACAGACGACAGTGGTATTCTGAGTAAAAGCAGCCATGCAAGTAAAGCAAATTAGAATTTGTTTCACCAAATCAATCATTGAACTCTTTAAGTATCAAATCAAGAACAGTTCGAGCAGTCCCATCTATAGTGCTGGTAATTGGTTTGGTTTATCTCTTTCATTGGTTTATAGCGATCAACATACTCTTCTTTCATGTCCAGCTTAGAAACATTATGGTCTCCCGACAAAGAATATACTTTACAAAGATTCCTAAACATCATCTCTAATCTCGCTGAAATCATAGTGTTTAGTCACGCCTGTTATCTATTTAAACTATCATTAGTGTAGTCGAGTAGCTCTTGTGCCTTGTTCAAGTAGTGCCTAGTTCTAGTGTGTAGCTTAGTTATTTTACCATTGCTCATTAGTCTTGACCAAGCGCACAATCTAACAAATTAATATATTTTATCGATGATAGAAATCAACAAGAAAAATAACAAAAATCAGCCAAAGCCCCTAAGTCTGAAGGCATACCATCTTTCTATTGAGGCCAACAGCATGACATAATTGCATTATGTTTCGGCAGCTAAATCATGGGTGATTACAATATGGAGTGATCAGAGGCTGGCAAGGCAAGCTTGATGAAATAATGCAGCAATGCATGGGACTGATAAAAACAGACCTTCGTTTCAGGGTGCTGAACGTGATGTTCAGTTTTGTGCTTCAATGATGCACCAAAACACACAGGTTAAGCAACATATGCATAAATAGCATGTGCTCTACTACAGCACGGTCATCATCTAGAATGGATCATATATCGAGCATTCCAGCTGAATTATGTTGTCGCAATCTCACAGACAAGTAGCACACATGAAACTGAAATTAAATTAACCCATCCAGGTTCACACAGAAGTTTAACTAAATTCATAAAATCGGAAATAACTGATCCCAGATTACATGAAAGCTATTGCCGAAAAACCCAGTTTATATGGATCCAAATATAGCTGCACTTCCATGTAAAATTGGAGAAGGTTCCAAAGATATCAGAAGGAATGGATGGTTTAATTATTAAACCAGCTGCAGCAGTTCCATGTCCAAAGGATATCTAGATGGCTTAGCAAAGCTTAGAAGTAATAACTTAACCTGAAATGCAAGGGAGTTACTTTAGTTTATGCCAGAGCAGCATGCAAAGTGAATCATTTACAGTTTATGAATCAGAATGTGAAGGTCACGAGTACTATGAATATGAATTGTTGAAGTACCTGTAGAAAGCTATGCCACCACAAAATATAACAAATCAATGGCCACCTGAAACTCGCACAATACAAAAATGCATCAGCATTCAGTACTAAATACATTATATTAAGATGAAAGATCTCATGGTTAAACATATGCTAAAGTGAAGGAGTCAACATAAACTAAGCAGTTGACCTTACTTGGTGAATTTGGACAAATGTTTTGTTTACACAAAACAAGGGACACTTCATCGAGATAACTAGACATAATATATAAAGTTCAAATCACAGGACAGATAGTTATGATCAAATACTAACAGTAAACTTCCATATAGATTAATCTCCTAAAAGCCATCTGAACTAAAGTGCATCTATTTGCAGAGAATAAAGTGGCAGCTAATGGCAGATTGTAAGCTCAACTTTCAAATGACTGAAGCTATCTGTCTGGCGGTGTACTAACAACAAAAGCCAATTATTTCTCATATAGCACTTGAATAATCAAGAAGTAATTAATTCTCACCTAGAAAATTTATTGTGTTTGACTGGAGCATCAGATTTGCAATAAGTTTGAAAAATGAACTGAAGACAAACAACAGAGTATTTCTTACTAAAATCTACCAACATTATCAATGACTCAAAATTCAAGATAGTAGCTACAACTTGAGCCCAGTCATTTTGATACAAAGTCATGATTAGAGAAACTAAACAGCCTAGTTTGTTTACATAAGGGTGGGATATTAGAAAATATATAATTAGCCTCCTGTAAGAAGTAAACATATTTACACCAACATTTGTGGAATTCACAAAGATTTAATATAGCGACTAAATGTATGTTAATATTTAAATAGCATGATCAATAGATTAGAACAGAAGAAAAAACAAAGATAATGAAGAGATCGAAGATTACCAACTACGTTGCATCAAACACCGTTAAGACGGACATTCTGACCCTCATCTGGTCCAAGCAGAGGCTCCAAGCGCATGAAGAATGGAAACGCAGGACCTCTATGAGGGTCTTCTGGGTTGTTACGGAACACTGTCATCTTCCCGGTTCTCAGATGAAACACAAGAAAGTAGGAATTAGGCTTCCTTATTGACCAGAATTCCATGTAGACATAGCTGGCCCTCACTGCCAGTATGCGCAGCCTTTTCATCCATTCATCATGGCGTATCTTCTTCATCCAGTCATTCAGCAAAGAGATGTTTTTCATGAGCACCCATTCACCTATGCTGTTGCGGAACCAGAGCTGCAAGCATTGCTCCTTGCTGGACACAAGGCACAGCCCGCCATGCTCCGGCATGTCAGCCACACAGTAGGACTCCCCTACGGGGAATGGAGCATTGATGATAGACCATTCCATGGTGGCCGTGTCCAACACCAGGATCCTCTCTACGAGATTACGGTATCTTTCTTTCTTCGTGTTGGATCGCCAGTACGCGAACCGCCCAGCACGCATGCCGTCACTGTGCAACGGGTAAAAACTACGCAGCTCGCGGCATTCCAATCTAGTCCATTTGCTAGTGCGGGAGGAAAAGATGGCTGCGTGATCGTCTATCCCGATGATCAGGAACGAGCCGTCGGACTCGTCGACAACAATGGCATAACGAGCCACGTGCGTCGAATAGGGGAACACATCGAAAACGTGGAGGAAGACGGCTGTCCGCGCGATGGGGTCGTAGACGGCGAGGTCGAGCCCGTGCCGGCCACGGGAGAGGAGTTGGAGACCGCCGTCACAGCCACGGAGGCGCCACTCGTCCCAGCCGTACCCTTTCTCCTCGGCGTCCGAATCGACAGCAGGGAGGTCCTCGAAGAGGAAATCCCCGTCTGCGGCAGCCGTGGCCAGATTGGGGTTGCGGGTGCCCCACACGAAGAGCATGTTGGGGGAACGGAGGGGGAAGGGCATATCACCGCGGTCGGTTAGGAGGAACCCGACGAGTGGGGGGCGGCGGAGGGCGTCGAAGCGACGGAAGACGGTGGGGTCGGAGGCCACGCCGTGCCAGAGCTTGCAGGTGAGAGCGGCGCTGGCGAGCGACGCCATGTCGGGGAGCTGGAGGAGGATCTCACGGAGCAGGTCGACGCCGAGGGAGGCTACCGGCGGCGCCGGCGACGTCTTTGCCCTCTTGGCGCCAGAGGCACCGGTTCCCTGGGGCATTTCCCCCATTCCTCCAGACGCGAGAGGAATGGGGATGCTTGGATTAGGGATTTGGGGCATTTGGGGTCAATTGCTCGGTGGCCGATAGCCCGATACTCGTATAGGAGAATTTTTGTAAACATTCGCGCCAAAATATTTTGGGTTGGCGCCAAGAAGTAAAGATATTGGATCTTGTATTCCTACGGGTTGACGGGTTGACGCAAAGTATTCCTATCGAGTTTGGGCCGGCACGATAATGCCCGGGCCCTAAATTCTTGGAGAGAGTTTTTGACCCGTTAGCTTTCACAGCCCTCTTATTTCCTCCCTTATCACAAAAATTGGGTTTTTTTTCCTTCAAAAACTTTTAAAATTGGTTGTGTTCACCTTGAGTCTGGTTTTTCCTTTTTTTATGAGCAATTTTTGCTATTGTGGCACCATATTAGCTGTCTTTCGGGCTTTACATCAGCCACAAGAGAGACAAATTGAGCTAATTTGAATGTTTAGGAAGGTAAATCGGACTACAATTATTTTAAAAACTATCGAAAATATATTTTTTTAAAAACAAATATTTTACCTGAAAAATAATGCAATTAAAAATCCTAAAATCTGGTTTAATCTTATAAAAATCATAGAATCTTGTTTTAGCTCCGAAAATTATGAACTAGTTTAAGATTTCCCCCCTAAAATCATACTTTATCTTATGGTCTCTAGCTTCAAATTGTTTGAATCTTGATCGACTCATTTTGGTGCTTATTTGCTAGCACGTGTACATACCCTACTGTAAGTGTCGACCACCAAACTCAAAACATGGCAAGCACAAGACCTCTATATAGTTAAGTGAGGACTACATGTGTCATTTGATTTACCAGTAATTTTTTCTAAAATTCCTAGGATACCTTATATTTCAGGGCAGAGAGAGTATAATTAGTCAATGTTGATCATCCAGACTGCATAGAAAAGCGTCATTAGGACCGCATTGGATGCTGGCCTCCTGTCCGGAATAAATTTTCAAAACAGATGTGTTAGCCTGTATGCACCCGTTTTAAAGGGGGAAACCCTACTTTTATAAAGGCACCGAGTCCATGATGTACAGACAAACTAAACAAAAAAAAACGACACAAAGATAACTACCGGGATACCAACTTACATGAACACGAACAAAAGCACAGTACCACCCGCCCTGAATGTGGCCGTTAAACAGACAAAGCTAAGACTGCTAAAGGAAACAAACGCCTAAGCCTTCTCCCAGAAGTGGAGACGAACTTCACAAAATGCCTTCGACTCCTACGTTTTCAGTTCGCTTCCAAAAGTCCCTCAACCATCTCCCCATGCTCCGAATGATGCGTCCAAGTATTTGGCATCTCTCTTCTTCGACAAGATACACCATTTTGGTAGAAAAGAAAAGATTTTATAGAACATGAAAAGTTTTTCTCTATCCCCATCTTATTTCTCACGGTCCATAAGCCCCAAAGAATAATAGAGAACATGAAAAGTTTAATGTGATAATATTTCCCTCCGAGGAGGGTCCAATATTCAAAAACATCCTAAATATTTCGAGGAGTCCTATCCCACCCCAACGCTTCTTTGAAAGAGAAGCAGATAGCTCTCGCTACGTGGCAATGAAAGCAAATGTGATCGCTGGTTTCATCAATCCCACACATTCCCCCTCCACTCTTTCTTCTTCAGATTTACCCCAGTTTGCAACCTATCTTGAGTCACCAGCCAAACAAAAACTTTGATCTTATTAGGTAATCTGCTCTTCCACAGTTTCTGCATTCTTTGGTTGACAGCCCCTCTAAAAGTCATCCTCCTGTACATAGATCATGTACTATAATTTCCGGACTTATCTAACAGCCAAACAAACTTATCTGCCTCCTCATTCAACCAAAATTCTTCTAAACTGTCCATGAACCTTTCCCATTCATTCATGTCTTCATCTCCAAAGGCTTTATATTCCAACCATCTCCCTCCCAAGAGTCACTGACTAGGCAGTCTTTATCAGCACTTAAGGCATCATTCATAATTCTGGTATCCATAATCCCCAAACCTCCAAAATCTTTAGGTAGGCATCACTCATAATTCTGGTATCCATCTCATAATCTGCATGCACCCTTCATTTAATATATTTAATTAAGTTTTATAAACAATTGAAATCAACTCAATTTTAATAGATGAATTATGGAGCAAAGTTGCATAGTATGAGAGGAAAATCTAGATAGTAGCATACGAGTCATGATGTTTGTATAGATAGGATCAAATGTCATGACCATGATCAAGTGAAGCATTAAGGCCCTGTTTGGTTCCGAGCTCCTAAAACTTTAGTTCCTAAAAGTTTTAGGTAGCCTTCTAAAACATTCTAAAAGAGTGTTTGATTGTACCTCTTAAAACTAACTAAAAGTAATAAATGTTGTTGAACAAAGACACTTTTACCCTTCTTTAGGAGAGAGAGAGAGGGGGAGGGGGCAATAAATGAGGGGTAGTGGGGGTCCAGGAAGAACTTTAGGAGGTTTTAGGAGGGGGTGGAGCTCCTAAAGAAAAACCAGCCTCCTAAAACTTTTAGGAGGTTTTAGGAGGGGGTGTTTGGTTTTTTAGACAGATTCTATCCAGATTTTAGCTCCTAAAGCTTTTAGGAGGGGTAACCAAACAGGGCCTAATATGATATGGTTTCCACTGTGCAGAAGACCAAAAGTACTGCTACTAACTCCTGAAGTATAGATACAATCCACCTGTGCACTGAACTGCTGATTGAGGAGTAATGCAAGTGACAATCGACATATTCAATCACTCAAAGTTTAGCAAGCACAAACTTCAAGAACTGATGCAGCAGCATTAATTGGTATCATGCTATTCAGAAAATGGGATAGCACAACCAAAAGTCTCACACCAACCCTATGCCGATAGCAAAGCAAAGCACTCACTTTCTCTCCATTTTCTACCGAAAGTTTCTCGCCCGCATCAGTGCTTCGATTTTCTCAACGTCCTCAGGTGCATCTACACCATGGGCATCGTGGTCCACTTTGATCACCTACAATTACAGAAAGCAAACAGAAACAAAACTCAGTGCTCTAGGATATAAACTACAGACAGTAAGTCTGTAACCGGTTATGCACCATACAAAAAGATATGCTACTGCACACATTGAAAACATAGTAGCATTCAAACCGTGGTTCACGTGAACAAACTGCAAAACAGCAGTAACAAACAGGCACTGTCTATCTCATAAATTCTAGAGTTCCATGCCAAAATACCTTCATCCTATAGCCGTTTTCAAGAACTTTCAGTTGCTCTAGGTCCTCTTCCATTTGTAACGGTGTTGGTGGAAGTTCTGGATATATCTTCAAAAACTTTGAATCAAAGCCCTGCGTGAGAGAACAGTCGGTTAATTATTTAGTCAAAAGTCGGTTAATCAAAGGACCATGAAGCAAATATAAATAAATAAACATAAGGTTGATAAAATACCGCAATTCCAAGATGAAGAAGATAAGGGTATTTCGGATTGACACTCCCTGATCTGAAATGGTCAGGGTCAGAAAAATTTCATGTGAAAAAATATAGCCAATGGAACAGTTAAAGCAACCATTGGTGTCTCACTTATTGAATGGAATCAGCCCTCTTGAAAAGTATTTTTCGTAGCCCTGATTATCCACAACACACTTCACTCGATTTGTATTGAATGCATCTTCTGGTTTCAGTGAAGTAACAGCTGTGCTGAAGACTGCATCAGGAGCTCGCTGCAAACCACATTTGAAGTACAAGGAAACAAGGTCAATAAAAAGAGATCAAGACATCTGCAAGGCACAGGGTGTTTAGGTTGCACAAGGTCAAGATAAATGTTAAATGTGTAGCATGCAACATAATTAGAATGATGAATGCATTATTTTCAGGAGTAAGCTTAAAGAAAAGATATTAGTCCCCACCTACAAATGCTAAGAACCATTTTATTTAACTGAAGAGAAGTACAGGCAACATCAAGACAGTGTTGTGTAATTAACCACCTGCAGCGACATAACTACACCATCTATTATCTCTGGTTCAATAAGAGGCTCATCTCCTTGAATATTGACGACAATATCATAGTGTTTCTCAAGCTTCTTAAGTGCCTCACAGCAGCGTTCAGATCCTATGTTATCAAGCAAATGCCAACAAACACACACATTACTGTTTAACCACATAATCATGAAGAGATAATATAACTACAAAACAAAACACAATCAGTACCATTTTTGCAAGATTCTGATGTCATTATAACATTAGCTCCAAATCCCCAACAACATTCTGCAATTCTCTCATCATCCGTTGCCACAACTAAGGGGGAAACGGCACAAGTGTGAACATGACAAACAAATGAAACCAATCAATGATTAATATTAGCCATCTTGGGCTTACCAACATGGTCCAAAGAAGAAGCTAGCATAACTCTTTCCCATGTTCTCTGTAAGTGCGAAACACACACATTTTTAACTGAACAAGTGAACAAGAAGTAAAATATGTAACAAATCAGAAGAAGCAATGATACATTTTCAGAAGAAATTAGTTCTGTATTCAGTGTAAAAAAGTGTCAGCACAAGGTGCTGTAGGAATAATACATATGCTGGATTAATCACAGGCAAGAAATTAAAACTGGCAAAAACTAACAGCTATACCATTTCCCTTCTCCAAAATCCATCAAATTGAAATTCACCCAACTCAAGCTTGACTTTTTAATTGCTGGAAAAACATTGAATTGTGAGGAATGAAGCCTGCAAACGATTCACAACATTTCAGTAACCAACAGAACAGCCACTATGTAGTTCATTCTAAACGGAAACAGCATAATTCGATTCGACCTCCCCTCGCACTCCCAACCGCGAGTTGCAGGTACAATTTCCCATACAAATTGAGTATCTACCGCAAGCTTCCCATCTCTCTCTAAAAGATGCGATAAGACAAGGTAAGAAGAAGGAGGCGGACCTGGATCATGGGCTTGCCGAGGATGTGAACGAGCGGCTTGCCCTCGAAGCGCGTGGAGGCGAAGCGCGCGGGTATGATCC